ATATATATATATATATATATATATATATATATATATATATATATATATATATATATATATATATATATATATATATATTTAGAAAACTGGTTTCGCGAAGTTTGGCAAATAAACCAGGTTTATTTTATCTTTATCTACTTATTATATATATATATATATATATATATATATATATATATATATATATATATATATATATATATATATATATATATATATATATACATATATATATATCTTGTTTGTCGATGCTGACACGTATCTGAAGAGTGCTCAATGCAGGTAAGATTTTGCAGAGCAAAACTGTTATTAGTGTAGACTAAGACATGATATCTGAAGATAATTTAATAAAACCTAAACCTATTTACGATAAAAATTGGTTTAGGTTTTATTAAATTATCTTCAGATATCATGTCTTAGTCTACACTAATAATAATATATATATATATATATATATATATATATATATATATATATATATATATATATATATATATATATATATATATATATATATATATATATATATATATATATATATATATATATATATATATATATATATATATATAATATTATTAATGAGACCAAAGATGATCAAATTTTACAGCGTAGAAAGAGTGCTCAATACCATTTAATAACGTAGAGCAAATAATTTAATTTCTTAACTTAAAATATAGTCACAACTCTGAGTTTCACGCTCAATGCGTTTTCTGAACAATTTATATTCTCAATGAACATGTTTTTTCGCTGTTGTTTCGGTATTAATTCTTTAAAAAACTTGTATTTAAACTAATTTCTACGTAATAAATATATTTTGCTAACCTGTCAATTTTTTTTTGAGAGTTTTTCCTTGTAGTATTATGTTTTTCAAAGCGAATATTTTCCTTTTTCTGCTTCGCAAAACTCATGTAGTTTTTGGACCGCCATCTTGTTTTTCGCTACTCGCCGTATATGAGCTGTATGTCACGTGCAGTGGCTTTATACCAGATAAAACACTCCTAATTAGTATTCTTTATATAAAGAATACCAATAAGGCAGTATCTATTGTAGTCGTTCGCTGATTAGTATTCTTTATATAAAGAATACTAATAAGGGAGTATATCCATTGAATTTGTACTTGTGTTTGAAGCCGTTTAATTAATAAACTCGCAGGTCGTAAACCTATAATAGGACACTCCTGCTCGTTTACTAAACAGTACATATATATATATATATATATATATATATATATATATATATATATATATATATATATATATATATATATATATATATATATATATATATATATATATATATATATAATATATATATATATATATATGTATATTTAGAAAACTGGTTTCGCGAAGTTTGGCAAATAAACCAGGTTTATTTTATCTTTATCTACATATATACATATATGTATCGTGTTACCATGACAACTGCATTAGATAATTCATGTCCGGAAAATACAACGGTTTTGTCAGCGCAAGGCGAGGGCTTCTGCATGCATGTATTTTCTAGTCTAGCATTGTAATATATATATATATATATATATATATATATATATATATATATATATATATATATATATATATATATATATATATATATATATATATGTATATATGTAGATAAAGATACGCCAACTGCTGTTACTACACTCACTGAAATTGTTTTAGATCAAATGGAAGTGGAAGCATTGTTGCTATCTATAGATCCCTCCAAGGCACAGGGTCCTGATCAAATTCCAGCTCGACTCCTAAAGGAATGTGCTCAAGAAATATCGGAATCCCTTTGTCTTCTGTTTAATAAATCATTGCAAACTGGAATTTTCCCACAACAGTGGAAACTAGCCAACATTGTACCAATTCTAAAGAAATGTCCTGCCTCAAATGTGCAAAATTATCGCCCCATTTCTTTGTTGTCAAATATTGGGAAAATCTTTGAAAGGTGTGTTTTTAATCGAGTTATAAATCATATTAGTAATCAGTTACATAACTTCCAACATGGCTTCCTGAAAGGAAAATCTTGTACTACCCATCTGTTACAAGTAATAGACGAAATTGGAAGAAGTTTGGATTGTGCAGAACAGACTGATATTATATATCTTGACTTTGCAAAAGCATTCGACAAAGTCAACCACTCCTTGTTATTGGATAAAATCAGTGGCTTTGGAATTGACGGTAATTTGTTGAAATGGTTTGGAAATTATCTATCTGATCGTCGTCAGCAGGTAACTATCCCTGGATCGACTTCGGGGGTTTTGCCGGTGCTCTCCGGTGTACCTCAGGGGTCGATTTTGGGACCCCTCTTGTTCCTCATGTTTATCAATGATCTCCCTGACAGCGTTATGGAGAATTCGGATGCAAAGATGGTATTGTTTGCCGATGACTCTAAGATTTATAAAACTATCAGGACTACATCGGATTGTATGGCCTTGCAAACTAGCATTGACCGAACATCCATATGGAGCTGTGAAAATAAAATGCTTTTAAACAGTAAGAAATGTACTATAGTAAGTGTGAATCGTAAAACTCAGGCTACTACATTTTCTTATACTCTTGGGGGATTACCTTTGGGAAAAACAAACTGTGAAAAAGACCTTGGGGTGTTAATAAAAAGCGATCTGAAGTGGGACGCGCATGTTTTGTCAATTTCAAAGAGGGCTAACAACGCTTTGGGGTACATTAGAAGAGGGACAACAGGATTCAATGACGTTGATTCAAGGAAAGTACTCTACATGGCGTTAGTAAGAAATCATTTAGTTCATGCATCGCAAGTTTGGGCTCCACAGTCAGTACATCTAATCAAGCAATTGGAATCTTTGCAGAGAAGAGCAACAAAGTATATTCTATGCCTACCATATGATACTACTATTACATACAAAGACCGGCTCTTAAAATTAGATCTTTTACCGATGTCGTATTGGCATGAATATTTGGATGTGTTGTATTTGTATAAGCTGGCATCTGGCATGCTTTCTTTAAAGTTGCATGACTTCTTAAAAGTTAAACAACCATTACGTGTAACGAGAAGAAGTAATCCTTCATCAGGTTTAATGTTTGATATCCCAAAAGTACGTACAGTAACATATCAATCTAGTTATTTTATTCGAACTGCTAGAATTTGGAATGAACTGCCATCATCCATACGATTATTAGAAACTTTATGTCAGTTTAAAAATAGTCTATTGAAATACTACAAAGATTGTCTAAAAACTATTTATGACACTGACAATCCAAGAACTTGGAAAACTATATGTCCAAAATGTCATAACTGTTCTGTTTTAGTAAAGCAATCACAGTGTTGCTGATTTTATTTTATTTATATTTTATAATGGGCCACTGTTATTGGGGTTTTTAACCCTGTTGTTGGTTCCTGACACTTTAAAGTATTTATGTGTGGTATTTGTACGTTTTGTAATTTAATTTTTCTTTTTGTCATATCGAAATAAAAAAAAAAAAAAAAAA